AAAGATGAAGTCAAACTGTCCCTGTTTGCAGATGACATTTCTCAACATAATTAAAGCCATATACAATAAACCCACTGCCAATATCATCCCGAATGGGGAAAAGCTGAAAGCTTTTCCTTTAAGAACAGGAACCAGACAAGGATGCCCACTCTCACCACTCCTATTCAACATAGTGTTGGAAGTACTAGCCAGAGCAATCAAGGAAGAGAAGGAAATAAAGGGTATCCAGACTGGAAAAGATGAAGTCAAACTGTCCCTGTTTGCAGATGACATGATCCTATAGATCCTATATATAAAAAAACCTAAAGACTCTACCAAAAACTCTTAGAGTTGATAAATGATTTCAGTAAAGCTTCAGGTTACAAAATCAACACTCAAAAATCAGTAGTGTTTTTATACTCCAACAATGAACTAGCAGAAAAGGAAATCGAGGAAGTAAGCCCATTTACAACAGTCACTAAAAAATATAAAATACCCAGGAATCAATTTAGCCAAAGAGGTAAAAGATCTCTACAATGAGAACTACAAATCACTGCTGAAAGAAATTATAGAGGACACAGAAAGATGAAAAGACATTCCATGCTTGGATTAGAAGAATCAACACTAGAAAAATGTCCATACTACTCAAAGTGATCTACAGATTCAATGCAATCCCCCATCAAAATACCAATGAAATTCTTCACAGAAATAGAAAAAAACAATCCAATCCTAGCATTCATATAGAATAATAAAAGACTCTGAATAGCTAAAGCAATCCTGAGTAAAAAAAATAAAGCCTGAGGCATTATACTATCTGATCTCACATCATACTACAAAGCTATATTAACCAAGACAGCATGGTACTGGCATGAAAAGAGACACATGGACTAAGGGAACAGAATACAGAACCCAGAAATCAGCCTATATATTTACAGCCAACTGATCTTTGACAAATGAACATGAGCTCTTCTGTCAGGTGGTCCTAGGTTCTAATGCTTGGCTCTGCCTTTTCTGGTCTGGTAGAGGTATGAGCTTCTCTAGCTTGTATTCAGCCCCATGAAATACAGAATGTGACATTGATCTAAGAAGCTGGTTTTGAAGGTCATTTCAGACAACATATCTAAAGATTTTGACACATGGTAGGTGTTTAATAAATGTTAGTTCTCTTGTTTTCCCTGTAGTCTTATTTGAATTCCTGATGATGCATAAAATACCTTTTTCAAGTGAAATCCAAAGTTCACTGCAGCCTAGTTGGAGTCAGGAAGCATGTACCTTGTGTCTTTTTTAGTGCAAATACATGCCTGACTGTATTCTTAAAGATATGAACATCAAATGTTCTAGAGTTGGGAGGAGGCTCAATGAATGCATGTTTCTACCCTTTGCTTTGCCGATGACAAAACAGACCTTCCTTAGGCACTGAGTAAGACAGATTTGGGAATTTAGTAATCCGAGGTCCAGCAATTTTATGGGATTTACCGAGGGTCATTCAGAGGCCAACAGCAGAGTCAGGACAGGAACCCCGATTCTCTACCATGCTTCCACCACTCATCGAGATCAATTCTGATTTGATGACTGTTTATGATGGGTGAGTCCTGCCATGCAAGTCCATAGTCTACCAGTTGAATGTAATTAGTTAGGACATTAATGACATGTGGCTGTGAGTGAGAAAGTTTTACTTAACATAGAAAGTACAAAGTATTTTGACCATACAGGTCAAATTTCTTCCTTCTTGTTCATGGCAGGCTTCATGTTTATTACTGCAGTTCTGTGTGTAATGACAATGGAAGAGACAATTAAAGCCAAAATTGCTGGTGGGTTCTCTGGAGGTCATTAAGCAGTATGGCACTGCTCTGCCACTGAGCCTATAGATTGCCGAAGGATAATCCCCTGTTTTTTGGATAGTTTACCCTAGAGTATGATTTATATGACATATTTCAAAAAAAGGTCAGGACTAGCAACGGTGAGACGTTGAAAGTAGGTGGGACAGCAGTCCTAAGGTGATGGGCAGCTAAGAAATGGAGCAGGTCATAGCCAGAATATGGGATGTGAAGACGGTGCATGTAATGACAGCAGCAGACACCGTGGCATTAAGTTTCGGGCAGGTGTGAGACCACAGACCAGGGATGTACATGCATTATTTTAATAAATCTCACCATAATTCTGTGAGGGAGAAACTCCTACCATGCACATTTTACAGATGGAGAAACTAAATACCCAAGAGGGGTGTGTCCTGAATTGTGGCTGAAAGGACAGAGCACTAAATTTAATGGGTCTAGTCCAGATAAACATCTTGTGACTGTTACTGCTGGTGTGGGGCTTGAGCTTTTAGGATTGAAGACGAGAAGACTTGATGAAGAGAGCTGAGGAAAGCTGGAGAAAAGTTTTGGAACAGAAGGTTAGGGAAGAAGCCTCCATGTTTGACTACAGGGTCAGACATTTGCTGATCACTGTGCCTGCACTAAGACGGAGGTAAACAAAAATGACTAAAGGATCTTAGCCGTTTTCTTCTTTGCCTCTCATTCCTCCAGTTTAACTGCGTCCAGTTGTGATTTCTGGAAAGCAACAACAATTCAACTCAGTAATTTGGCACGCTGGATTTAGAACTAAATTTAGCAGGTGAAGACTCTTTCTTCCCCTCTGCCCCTCATAAAGACCCTCCTTTTTACAGCAGAAACTGCCCTTTGAGCCATTTCTGACACTTTGCTGTCTCTCTTATATCCTTTGTCTACCTGTAGGTCATTGAGACAATGTATGGGCTTGTACATTAAATATAATAACATTCTTTCTGAGAAAATGGGAGCATGTGTGTGCGTTTGTACATAAGGAGATTCAGGTACTTAAATCAGATTCTCTAAAGACACCACCATTTATTTATTCATTCAACAATTATACATTGAGTGCCAACTACCTACTAGTCACTGTTCTAGACACCAGGAATTTAGAAGTGAACAGAAGAAATAATTGCCCTAATGAAGCATGTGTTCTAGTGGGGGAGAGAGCAGAAAATATACATGTAAATATACAGTATGTCTGATGTTAAGTGTTATGAAGAAAAACACATTTGGGTATGAGGCTAGGGCATACTATTTTATATAGACTGGAGAGGAAAGGCCTTGGTGAGAAGTTAACATTTGAATAGAAGCAAGGGGGAGCGAGCCATGTGAATATTCAACAAAAGAATGTTCTACAAAAAGGAAGAGCATGTGCTTAATTCCTAGGCCTGTTGAGAACTAAGAAAAGGCCAATGTGTTTGGGCAGATGAGTGAACACTGAGTTTTAAAAGATGATGTTGGAGAGGTGTCAGAGATGGGGTGGCAAATCATGAGGGGCCTTTTGTAGCCCAATATAAGGACTTTGACTTTTATTTTGAGTGAGATGGGAAGCTATTGTAGGCTTTGGAAAAGAGGAGCTCTTGTGTTTCCAATATAAAGTCACAACTCTGACCACTTTGTTACAGGGTAGAAGAGTCTAGTCCAGTGCTTTTGCAAATGACTTACAGGAGGGAGATGGATTTAGTAGCTCCTTCAGCTTAAAGTGTTTGTTTATGTGGGATGCTTTAATTATTTTGACATTATTGGGAAAATTCCATGTGAAATGTAAACATTCTAAATCCTTTTAAAGGAAGGTATTATGAAGATGAAAGTATCTTTTTAATACTTTAATTACTACTCTTACAATGTAAAATAATTCTACTATAAAATAATATCCCCATGTTATTTGCCCCCCTTTAGGGGGCAGAAAATTTGAATATTTGAGCAAAATGGTATCTGTAACAATTAAGATTATTTGGTTGTAAATAACAGAAACTTTTCTTTAAAAAAATTTATTACAAAGATACTGGGTAGCTTACTGAATTAATGGAAATTGATTTGGAAAATCAGGTACAGAAATAGATAGAAATCAGGGCATGGAGGCAGGGCTTAGCTGGTGGGGGTCTCAGAAGCAGGAACTCTTCCCAGCCTCCTTAGAATGCTACCACTAGTGTTAATGAGATCTAAACATTTCCTGTCTTCTCTTCCCATTGGTTCCACATTCCTTTTGAAGCCCAAGTATGTGACTCAGGATACGGTAGAACAAGACGTCTTTTTTATTTTATTTTTTTAATTTAAATTTTTAAATTTTTATTCGTACATATTTATGGAGTACAGAGTTGACTTTCAGTATTTGTGTACAGTATGTGATGATCAAATCAATATTATTAGCCTGTTCATCATTACAAATCATAATTACTTATTGTGTCCCTTAACTAATTCCTCCCTATTCCCCCTCCACTCCCCCTTTCCCACCTCTGTAACTATAGGTCTGTTGTCTTTTTCTGAAAGTTCAGTGTTTTATTATGGTCTGTCTTTCTTTGTTTCTTAGCTCCCACTCATGAGTGATAACGTGTGTTATTTCTTTCTGTGCCTGGCTCATTTCACTTAACGTACTGTTCTCCAAGCTCATAGTAGGACAAGACATCGTAATTGACAGTCCCACTCAGCTCTATTCAGTGGGGCAGAGCGATTCCTCAAGGAAATTAGGAATTTCTATTATCAAAAGAAAGTGTAATGGATGCTGGTTAACTAAAATGTTACACATGCCTTCATTGTACTTGCTTTTACTGTAATTCTTACAAGGCACCTTTTCTTTTATCTCTATTTCTTATACACTTGTTTCCCAGTTTTTAAAAAAAATTTTATAAGCTGATTTTATCTTTTACTAAATGGTAAAGTTAGTGGCCTTCTCATTCCTTATTTAACCATTCCTAAGTTGTTGGACATTTAGATTACTGTCATGAAAAATATTATAAGTAAAGCTGCAAGGAATAGTAATAGACAACCTAAGCTGGCTTAGTAACATTGTGCTTCTACTTCTGGGTGTCTGATCTACCCTATCATGCTTATAGAAGAGAGGGCAAGATAAAATAAGTATAAATTCCAGCAGAAGTATATAAATGAAGGGGATTTCATCAGACACTGGAACTGTCAAACGGGGTGAGCCTCATCCTCCCAGGGACTCACAAATCTGTCTTTTTCCTTTAGGGGGCAGGCTGATTTTCATGGCTCCAGGACCCATTGTTCTCAGGGCCCACTCCATCCTTGTTTCTGATGGTGGAGAGCTCCGGATTGGATCCGAGGACAAACCCTTCCAAGGCAAAGCTCAGATCAAACTCTATGGGAGTTCCCACTCTACCCCCTTCTTTCCATATGGAGTCAAGTTCCTGGCTGTGAGGAATGGAAGTCTTTCTCTGCATGGTGAGTATGGCAATTGACCAGATGAAATGGAGTAGAGCTGTGTCTAGCAAATATATGGGCAATGGAAAATGATAACACTATTTAAAAATCTTTGGCTATGAGTTGCTGAGGCAACAAGGTCAATTAGAGCCTGGCACTATTTCCTTAAATAACAAATAAAATTGTATAATTCCTGGGGCACAGTATACTACAGTTTCCATTATTTGCTGCCCTTCCTGTAAGGGGATTGCACTCCTCTGCCTACTGTCAGGTGACTTTAAGTGCATTCCTGTGGGTGGACCATACTTCCTTGCCCTGCTGAGAGTGGGCTTAGCCATGGACTTGCTTTGGTCAGTGAAATGTGAGCAGAAATGATGTACTGTATGACCAAGTGGAAGTTTTAAGAGCCGTTGTGATGCTTTAGCCATTTTGCTCTTTTCCCTCCATTTGAGAATATTTTGTGTCAGGTAGGGGCAGTTCCTTCAGCTTGAGAACCTGAATGCAGACAACGTGGGGCAGAGCTGCAGTGACTTACTGCTGTCAAGTGTGTGAATGAGGAATGATCCTTTGTTGTCATAAGCCACTGAGATTTGCATTTGTAACTGCAGCTTAACCTAGTGAAAATTGACTTATTCAATTACTTAGCATACACTGATGACTGTCTTCATGTAACAGTCTGGCATCACAAACCAAACAGAGACAACTCCCCCCACCCCCACCCTGTGAACAGGGTTTAATTACAGTTTTACTTAGAATGCTTTTGCAGATGGGTTGGGTGTTTATGGATTCCTAGGGGAAAACAGGTATTAGGCTACAGTGTGTTCCTGCTCGAACTTTATTTGCCTTCTGATCATCTAATTCCACTTTGGAAAATGGACTTTTTTTCCCCTTGAGATCCAGGAAATTACCGTGTGCTGGGATCATCTTTAATATCAACTGGAAAATGTAAGTATAAAATGATGAGTCTTAAGTATATTTCCGTGAATACCTGTATACTTTTGGTTGCATAGCAGGAGCCAAAGGCAGATCAAAAACATGAGCTCCGGATAGTGACCCAGTCTCCAGAAAATATGATGTTGTTTACATTGGCATTTGTATATTAACGTGATAGAATAAAACTTCTTATCATACAATAATTGTTCTAGACATGGGCATGCGGCTACGCTGGGGAGTCTGCCATTCTTCTCTGTTCAGGCTCTGTCTACTACAACTTTGGGCCTCCATCATTGTCTACTGAAAAGCACTCTTACCTCTTTTCATTTACTATCAGAGGGAGCAAGATCTTTTCTTCGAGGCTTTATTCAGTGTTGACCATGGGCCAGAGAGTGTGCTGGACACTGGGGATCAAACTTTGTAAGGTTTAAAAAGCCCGTAACTATCTGGACAGAAATGCAAAATGCCTACTATCTTGATTCTTGTGTTCTACTACCAAGGAAGACTTTTTTCCTCCTATCTTCATCAGCAAGCACTTACTGACCTGGGGGCTCAGGATTCATGAGTGTCTTCTGTCTATCCACACGTTAGCCATTGTCTTCAAATGTTTGTTGTAGTTCATTGGTCACTTAGGTTACCAACCCAATGTGCTGTTGTTCACCACTGAAAAAAAAGCAGCTGGAGAACATGAGGGCATAGGACAGAGCTTCAGCCAGCCCATAAGTCATCCAGAAGACCTTGAGGCTTAAGAGGAATCCTCAGACTTGAGATCCACTGTCTCTCACAATGAAGATAGCACAGCTCCTGCAAGAAATTGAAATTAAAATGATGAAAAGTGAAAACACTCTAATTCTTTCACTCTGCTTCTTACATTTTGATCTCTTCTCATTTTCATGCTCTAGTATGGAGGATCAGCAAAAGTTCATAAACAGACCTTTATGTGCCTGTATTTGAAATGTACCCTGTGTCTGTAAGCCTTTATGATTAAGTAAATGTCAAGTTAAGAAAATCCCTAGTGCCATTGCTTGCAGTCAATATGAAGCAAATAAAGCAAAGCAGATGCTTCTAATACATTTTGAGAATTTTAAAAGTTGAAAAAATTGTTGCTACACTAGCCATGTGATGTTACTGGATACTCAGAGTCAGAGCACCTCTCCCTCTGCTTCCCTTGTTTCCATGTTTCCATCTTCTCTCTCTTCTTCCTCCTCTCTCCCTTTCCCTCTCTTCCTCTTTTCCATCCCCCTCATCCCTCCTTTTTCTCTCCACTGCCCTTGCCTTCTCCTCTCCTCTCCTGTACTCCCAGATTAGGTTGTCATTAACAACTGTTTAACCCACTCCCCTAAAGCCCTTCCAGCATAGGAGAGACTCAGACCTCATGTGAACCACAGAACTTGCACATTGAACATAGGCTATATCAAGCTATTTCCTCTCTGATGTGGGGCTGCCGCATCTCACTCATTTGAAAGACATGGTATGCAGGAAAGAGCTCAGCCATTTGGGTGAGAGGGACTCCCTTCCTGATGTATCTGCCAGAGAATCACAGTCACATGTGTGACTCATCAATCCTCTCCCTTTACCCCTCCCTCAGCACCTGAGGTCTCGAACAGATTCCCCTCCGGCCTGGTGGTATATCATGGTTAAAATCATTATGTAATTTCACTTGCCTTTCCCCAGGGCCAAAGGTAGGTCTAGTGACAGTGGGGCTTTATGGAAAAACTAATTTTATTTCGCTGTCAAGTATGCAAAACAGAGAGCAACTTGATTCACTGTCTTGCACCCGGAATGTCTCTAATGACCCAGCATTTGCTCAGCTTCTCAGGATAGTGTAGTGAGGAGATTCAACAACTTTGGTGCACAGAAGACTCTTCTGAGGAGATTTTTTTAAAATCCAGATTTTTAAACCCCCTACCCAGTCTGGTTCAGTGAGCCCGGGAACCTGCATTTTAACGGGACCCTTATGGGATTTGATTTAGGTGGCTCACTGACTACACTTGGAGATAAACTGATTTTAGTGGTTAATAGTTTTGGAATCAGAAATTGATCCAGTTTTGCCACTTAACAGCTATGACCTTGGGCAAATTTATCTCTGTAAAACCAGGAAAACACAGCCCCCCACCTTACAGACTTACTTCTTGTGAAGTGCTCCAGATTATCAGGCACACAATAACACGCAAGCAGTGTTAGTTATTTTGATTATATTCTTTTTCTTTCTCCAAAAGCACTGAATACCCTGTGCTAACTATCTCCTAGTTTCTTTTAGGGGTGAAGGAATGTAGGGGTGGGGCAAAGGTTTTTATTTCAAAATTTGGCATGGGGCCAGCTCTGCCAAGAGATTTTCCTCCTTATTAATTCTCTCATCTTTTCATTAGAGTCTGAGAGGAGTTTAAACTTTGGAAATCATGAGGTAACAACATTCCCAGGCATCTTCTGTTCTGTTCCCATCACCAGCGAACACCATTAGATTTTAATCTCTTGTGGTACAACTGCTTCCCAGCAGTGGGTAACCACTATTCCCAGGCGTGGTTACAATAAAGCCTTCTTGGAAACTTTTTGCATGGGTTCCAGTGTAGACAAAAGCAGGACACTGTCCAGCAAAGGGGGTGCTTGGCAGGCATTTGATTCTAACATCCAGCAGCAAGTGGATTGAAGGATTCTCATTTAACTCCAGCTCAGGTCGTATAGAACCACACAAATGGGTCTGTATGTCAGTAATACTGCTTTTTCCACCTTGTCACTCCCACCTCATTCTTCATTATTGCCCTTTGTAACCCTTCTGCTCCAGCTGATTTTTATCATAGATTAAAATCACCAAGCAAACAGGCTTTGCTGTTCAGCTGTCACACAGAAAGATGGAGTTGAAAGCACATTTCATATCCTTCTTTTAATGTAGAAAACTCCCACATTTGTACACTCACACACACACACACACCTGCACATACACACACCCACACATGGTGCTCTTTCTTCTCCTGTTTGCGGATCGGGACAGGGCATGCTCTGAATCTCTGATGGAGTTCAGGTTGATTAGTAAGTTCTGTCAGCTGCTCACTTTGGTGTGTTAATATGACTGAAGTGTCATAGGATTCCTCCAGAGTGGTGGTGGTCTGGGGTTTGGGTGGTTGTAGTCAATAAGGAATTTTCACTCTTGCCTTTTGCCATCGTCACTCCATCTGCCAATCCAGGTTCACCACCCCAAACTGAGTGCCAATCACTTGTCACTTTTCAAGGGGGTAGCTGTCAGCTCGAGCAACTTGAATTTTTGACAATGTAATTATGGCTCTTGCTTCCACAGTGGGAGTCTGAGCTGGATGGTGGGGCTTTTATTGATTGTTCAGCAGGGAAATTTATCAATGTCTCTCACTTCATTTCCAGTTCCTCCCTGAGAAATTTGGCTGACAGTTTCTTAGGAGAAAAGCAGTCTTATGGCCTTGACTGAAATCCCACCTTTGTCCTTTTCAAGAAATTACAAGATACAGGCATTAAATATAAATAGAAACTTCTGAGATAAGCTAGTATGTGGGGCATGATTAAAGAAAACACTAGTGCAATTATTATGAACATTAGAATTTGGTAGAAAAAAATGGTCTAAATAAGCACGTTTAGATGTGGTTTGTTTTCCTTCTGTAAGTACCAAGTATCTGTATTTAAATTCCATGCTTTTTACAAGTACTGTATTATGGGTGCTGTGATTGCAGTTGCTAAGGAGTATCAGGCTGTCTTTAAGCATGGTACAGATGTGTGGACCAGGCATGTGTGTAGACATGTGTTCCTGGTCTGTGGTCTTTATATTATGCCTCTTAAAATCCAAATATCTCCTGGAGGGCTTTAAGGGTTCCACAAACAATGAAGTACTTGGGGGTGAAGCAATAAAGATTTACATTGCTCAAGTAATTGATTCATCAGTTTTATCTTTATTATATGTTCATGTTCAAAGCAATATTTCATTAGAAGAAAGGGTTCCTCTGTACAAATTGTAACTAAAAAAGCCTACTAGGTCATGTTTTAAACTGTGGTGTGTAGATCTTTTTAAGACATGCAGGGTCTCTCTTTGCATGATTCCTTATTTCCCTAAGACTGATTAAGCTCCA